ATTGGCTTTCTCGTTCTGCGTAAAGGTTAAAATGATAATTTAAATATACTATCTATAAAATAAAAAAATTAAAAAAAATTAACTTACATTAAGCAAAATATAGATATTAAATAGATGACTGAAAAAAAAAAAAAACAAAGCTTATGTTTTTTTCTTCACAAAAAACGTATTTTATAAAAAAAAAACTATCTGGTTTTTTTTCTATTTACATCTCTAGGCTCACTCTCTCGGGACAGTGGCAAATTCGTTGGCTCGACAAAAAAAATAACAGTCCTTCTGCCCCGCCTCATTATCCCCCTCCGAAGCCATCATCTTCAGCAAATTTGGCTAAATCGACCGTGTTTTTTACTTTGTGCAGAAAAAGGAATCTCCTAGCGTTCGGAATTATTCTGATCTGTTGCCATGCCTGGGCGATTGAGACAGACGATAATTGTAAGTGTTCATCTCCTCTAACATTTCTCTCTCTCTCTCTTTCTCTTTCGGAAGATGTACACTGAATAATGTTTCGCCAGAAATATATTGCCTTTTTTTGCAATAATATCACGTCCCTGTATCCGGTCTATTTTTGAACAGTCTACTTTTAAGCTGCCTAATTTGAACATTCTATTTTTCAGCCGTCTGTTTTGGATATTTATTCCTTCGTGGAAGGATTTTTGATAAAAAAGATTTTAGACATTATATAATTGAATAAGTCTATTTATGAATGGGATTTGTTTTCGCGCGGTCTATTTCTCATCAATATCAATTTCCACTCTCCGCAGAAATGTTATATTTTGCGCTTTTTTTTTTTATAGTTCTGTAAATTCTCTTGACAACGATAATATTCCATCTTGAATACTGTCGCATCAACGATCATTGTTATTCAATATAGAATATTCAATATGTCGTTAACATTCATATGTTTAACGCTGATTATACATAACGCATATATTCAGTTGTAGGGACCGCGTTTAAAACACACTTAGAAAAAGATCTCGATCAGAACTTAAGGTCCTTGCGAAAAGGAGGCTCAGGAATTCCGGATCCGTTCATCAAGGACAAGATATCCTTCGAGCTTGATGCGGGTATAATAAAGTGCGTATCAGTGTGACTTTTGAAGTGAACGCGCGTTGACTGCGAGCGCGTTAAACCAATATATATCACCCCTAGGCCGACAAAGAATGTCATCACAATTATATTTTTCAATCGATATTTCTTACTTTCTAAATTGTTGTCATATATTATTGCGGTAGATTATATGTTCACACTGAAAGAGAGGTGTGTACTTTAATACTACAGTGTGGCCGCGGGCATATTAATTTAACGTGTGTCACGCTATGTCTCGACACGACAGGCACGTCTCGGCACGTCAACGTGCTAAAAGAAAACGATATCTCGTAATTAGGAACGTACGCCATACGGAACAAAGTTTAATAACTGCAATTTCTTTATTTTTCTCGTCGTACACCTCAGGTTTTATGGGCTTCTCTCGAATGTCAATGTGACTGGCTTGTCCACCAAAATAGTCAACCGTGCTGATATCAGACCATTAGAATTGCGGGCCGAAGTGAACTTGACTTGGCCGTTAGTCAATGCACGTACTGGTAATTATGGTATAAACGGTAGCGTTGTTTGCTTCCCACTCAATGGAAAAGGAGAGATGAAGTAAGTATTTTTCTAAAATTTTTTCGAGAGAAGTTATTTATAATTATTATATTATTTCGCAACGAGAGTTCGCGATTTTCGAATACCCACGTATATAGTACACAAAAAGGGATCTCGCTGGCAATTTTTGCGTTCTATTAATTTGTCAGTATAAGAGACGGAAGAAATTAAATCTGCGCTTTCAGCGAAAGTGCATTAGTTTCAATCATTATTACAATAATATACTAATTATCTTTACCGCGTCGTGATTAAAATATAAAATAATATGTTTATTGTCGTACCTTAATTATATTACGATGAGAGAAAGATCGTTCCGATCTGTCCTCATGAAGAACGTGCGATTCTTTCATTCCGCGTGCTTCATCTATGTACACATTTAAATACAATGCTTGAAATACGCATGTGAAAGAAATGCGAGCTTCACGGGGATGACTGACAATAAGTTGGCTATTTTTCATTCAGGCGCTTTCATGACTTTATCAAGTGACGCCGACAAAGTGTGCGTTATTAATTCGTGACTGATTTTATAATGTGTGCCTCGCGCGAAACACGCGATCGCGCCGATCTCGCATTCAGCCTTCTTACGGTAGTCATAAGCGTCCCTTATAGAACGCGAAGCTCAATCGAGATTGCTTTGACGGAAATTTAAACACGGACTTTTTTTCCTGGAGATTTAAATAATTCATCATTCCGCTATTAAATTCAACGATAAATTTGTATTTGTACAGATCTCTTTAACGCACTCAAAATCAGGAAAGGAGAAATCTTTGTGTGGTAGCGTTTATTTAAGATTTAAAGTAATTAATTATTTTATTGTTAAATAGTCCTTTTTTATAATTAATATTCTATTCAAAATTACAATACACAAGGACACATTTCTTTTTGATAATTTAGAATAAGTTTTTTTAAATAAAAATTTAACGTCATAAAAAATTTAAAGCTAAAAAGGCGCATTTAGCGAGCGTACTATCATCAGCTCTACTGCAATTGCATTCTATTCGTGTTTGGCGTCTAATGAGAACGATAACAGTATATTGACGCAACAGCGCTAAACAGCACTGACAGCGTGACCAAAAAGAAACGCGTCTACGTATTACATATATCTATACAGGGTGTTCCAAAATTTGCGAATCAAAATATTACAGAAAGTCTTCAAAAAATTAAGTGCAAAACGAATTTGTAAATTTTTAATTTAAGCAGTAGTTTTTGAGATATAAGAGTTTAAATTTAGCCGATTATAGATTACGATTAAACGGAAACATATCCGTGAATGCGTCGATAGTGTTAGTGGTCGCGCACTTCACGCGACTACTAATCTATAATTAAATACTAATTTATAATTGGCTAAATTGAAACATTTATATCTCAAAAACTATTGCTTAAAATAAAAATTTACAAATAATTTTTTTATTTAATTCTTTGAAGACTTTCTTGCTATGATATTTTGATTCGCGAATTTTGGGACACCATGTGTATTTAATTTTCAGTGCAACCGTGCGTAACTTCACATTTACAATTGACACAACGTTAAAATTAAAGGGTCTTCAACATATTCAAATTAAAAGTATGAAAATGGAACTTTCCTTGAGAGCATTAGAAGTAAGTAATTAAGCTTACAATTTTGATTAATTCTCTTCTGCCTTTTGCAGTGGCGATCCTCAATTACTCGCATCTAACAATTGCACAATTAATGTCAAATATAAAATAAATGACTTAAACGTTTTTAGATAACATTCTTCTGCAAACAAAATATGTATACATAATTAAAAAAAATTCTTTTAATAGTTCTTATACAAGATATCCCGAAATTCACGAATCAAAATACTATAAGCATAAAAAAGTGCTAAAAAAAACATGTTATAAAGATATTTGTCATTTTTTACGTTCCGAGCAGTAGTTTTTGATACAAAAACGTTAAAGGCTGTCTAATTACAGATTACAGTTAAACGGCCGTGAGTCAGGCAATTCTTTTAACGGCTAATTTGTGTATGATATTGTGTATAATATTCACTGAAAAGTACGAATAAAGTATGGCGATAATATGAATTAGAATAATGACACACCATGAAGTTGCATTCAAGTGACATACATTATTAGCCATTTCTCTTTTCACTACAATATTTCTAATTATTTAAATTTTCTATTTATCTTTCAAATTAAACTTATCCTTATCCTTATTGCAACTCAAATCTTATTGATATTTTCTATAAATATACAAATTAGCTTGTATAAATTAATAACATACTAATAATATATTTCCGATGAAATTGTGAAATTTGTGACGTTTACATCGATGCGCGACTTGCAATAAAGGGCCATTTAACTGTAACCCGTAAGTGGTCGATTTTTAAACTATTATATGTCTCAAATTACTTTGTAAATTGCTCGGTCCAAAAATAAATGTGGCAAATGCTTTTATAACTTATTTTTTTGAAAACCTTCTTGCAGAAATATTTTGATTTGCGATTTTCCAGATGCGCCGTATATCTCTCAAAATAAATTTTAATTAAATATAGGAAATAAAAAAGAAAACAACAAAAAAGTCAAATATCTAATAAAAACTGATTCAAGTTATAACGTTTTGCATTTCTTAAATTTGATGCAATTTGATTATACAGAATGTAATCCTAATTTATTTTCAACAACTGATTATAAAATCTTTCCAAATTTTCAATCAAATTTTCTTTCCTTTCAATTCTACATTTTAAACATTAAATTTTTTCGTATTAACGCCCTATCTTTCATGTAAAAATATGAATTTATATTACAATTTTTGTCACCTCATACATATTTAATTTTTTAAATCATAAACATAATTTATTAATTTGTAATTGTAATACGTTAGTTAGTAGTGAAATTAATTTCTTGATTAAATCAATAATTATCCGACAAAATTGCCATTTGTACGATATTGAATTAAAATTCCCACGTCGTTTCTTGCCTTCTATGGTATAATATGGTATAAATTCACAATCAGTCGCCACTGCTGCTGGCAGAGATATCGATCTTTTGCAAACAGCCACTATAGAAAAAATTCGAAAAATATACAACTCACTTAAAATTAGCTAAAAAATTTATTACTGCGCTTCCACAAACTTATTGATTAATAAGTATATGTATTTATATTGTTAAACAATATATATTAAAGTAACAATGTAGATAATAAAAAGATTAAGCAGAATAAAGAAATAAGTTTACTACGAAAGTAGTCGATTACTTTAATCATGACATTTCCATGAAAACTGATTTAATTTTTACCACGTCTTGATAAATTATTTATTTTAATTGGAAAAAATTACAAGAAATTTGAAACGACGTGAATAAAAGCTCAATAGAGATAGGGAAGCTAGATTCAAGTTATAACGTCTTTCATTTTTCAATCACTTTGATTGTGCGGAATGTAATCTTAATTAGTTTTCTGTTACTAATTATTTTCGTTTTGCTAAATTTGCAACAAATTTTTTTTTCCTTTTGCCCGCAGCTTCACGTGACAGGTCTCATCAACGACCAGATATCTGAGGCATTGAGCAAGATGATCTCCAACTTGGTGTCTAAACTCATCAATAATTACCAAAAAATAATTGGAGAAAACACTATTAATTTAATCGTCATGAATAGAATCAACAATTATCTGTTAACTGTAACGATCATCGAGCTGATGAAAAAACTAGGTGATCTAGGTATTCTCTAGAGTTCAGTTTTATAGTTGTTCGACTATTGTTATTATATTGTAATTCATTAGTACTGGATTTTATTAATTAGAATCAGTGTAGATGCGATGGAGATATAGATTTAAGCCTTTGAGTCCGATCAGAATTCTAGTTTTATTCAAGTATACATATGTTTTAATTTTTATACGAGAATACGTCCGTGCGCGTCAGTGTTTTCCAGCCGAATCGTTACATGTTCTCTCGCGATCGGTCATCTGACTTGTCTTTCGAGAGCTTGCTTTGTCTTACCACTGTTCGTACAAATACATTTAAATTTTAAAGCTCTGATGACGTTGCTCTTTCCTTAACTGCGCGTGCAGCTTAGAGTAATTGTTTGGAGATTTTTATTTGTATCAATCCGGCGCATACAGTATTATTAATTTGCTCGATACAAAAACGTTATAAAAATTGCAATTTAATAAATCAATATTTTTTGAAATTTCAAGCATTATGCTCTCATTTCGCCAAGGAACCTGTGTGCTTTGAATGTTTGTCTCTGTGTTAACGCTTTATACCTAACAGCTGAGCAGGTCGGTGAACCCGTCAGCGTGAACACTTCTATCTTTCTTACTATTCTCACGAATTTTCAACGCGGATTAAATTTAATTAAATTGCAACTGGAGTAGTAGCGACTCAAAGGTAATTTATCTTTTTACATTATTTTTTATACTATTAAGATTAATATATTTTAATATTTCCGATCGTAAGGCACGCAGAAGTAGAAAAATAAAAGCACTTTTATTATGCAATTCAAATCCAAGCTGTCAATTGAGCCTATTAGTAGAGCCTAGAAGTTGATCGGTTTAGCCGTTATCGAAATCCGAGAATCTCTGGTACTCGCAACTTACCGGCTCGTGTAAATAGACTCGATTTCACGCGTACTCTTTAGCGTCGATCGTGTCTTTTGATTAGGAGATTTCATGGATCCGACGATCTACATGTAAGTTTTTATATAAGGATCGTGGCTCGCGGTAAGTTTCTCAATCACAAAGTCGCCCGTACTTATATTGTCTCTTATCGTACATAATGCACACGAGTCCGTGTGCAAGTGCAAGGACAATTGCACAATTGCGCGCGACACAAACGACTTATAACTTACAAACGATTCGTACGTAATGATCGCGGACGTTACACTTACCGAACGAAGGTGCAACATTACATGTATGTACTTATATAGTGTCGAACGCACGACATCACGCGCCGAGTAATTCCACGGTGTCGACCTGTCGACTTTGGCTCGCTCGACGCACACCGGCCGGAATTGTGTCTACTAAAATCTACGTCTCGCCCGCCCCAATTTACTATACTTATTTTCTTTTGATACATACAAAGCATTTAAATGTCGAATCGAGCAAAATAAAAAAAAATAATTTTTATTTAATTATTGGTTAAGATTTTGTCTTCTTTTTTAACATCCCAGACAGCACAGATAATGAAAAAAGAACTCAGTTATATGTAATTAATTCTGAGTTTATTTTCAGATGCAAAAAGAGGTCTTTTTTTAAAAGGGATTCTTTTTGCACCTGAAAATGAACTCAGAATTGATGACATAAAACTGAATACATTAGTGAATTCTTTTGGGCTCTGTGTACTGGGATGTTACTTTTTAATTAAGATTTTCTAATATCAAGTAAAGTTTCTTAAGCAATAGCTAAAATATTGGCTGTCATTAATAGAGATCTCGTTCTATATCATGAATGCAAAGTAATTGAAACAAGACAGCTATTTTACTCTGTTTATTGTTCTGTTTGTTTCTGTCTATCGCTTATTCTCTATTATATACGTAGTGCGGATTAATCAATACTCTTATAACTCTTAATTGAGGAATTCTAACCAACGCTGTGCACCAAGACAATTTATGTCAAAGAATTTCAATTAAAGTACATCAGAATCTAAATCTATTATTAAAAAATCTAATAGCTTTAATTATATAACATCGAGTGCAATGCAAGTATTTGATTGCGTTCAGCCAAATTTTAAAATCCCGAGATTTTTTACGTGAAAAGGAACATTTATATTATTTTCCAATTTTTAAACTTAAGTACATACACACGTAAAGTCAGTTTATCTGTCAAGCAGTTTTTACAATACATAATTACATTATTATTAAAATTATGCAATGTAAATCACATTAATATGTACCTAATAATTTTTGATGATAAATAAGATAGACGTGCAAATAAAGCGAACAAGAAAAAAGTGAAGAGTGGAAAAGAAAGAAAGAGATAGATAGATTATAGGTAGATAGATAGATAGATAGATAGATAAATAGATAGATAGATAGATAGATAGATAGATAGAGAGAGAGGGAGAGAGAGAGCGAGATAGAAAGTAAAAGCTATAACATAAATACATAACACTTGCAATAAATCTATAAGTCATGTCTTGGTTATTTATGTTTTCTATTTGAGAATAAAATATTTCATTTTAAGTCTAAAATTTTTTACATTATAAAACTCAACAACAACCTGTTTACCTAATATCGCACATTCTTAATTAGATTAATTTTTACTTCCTTAATTTAATTAATAATTACATGGTCAAATAAATTTTGCACACGCAACTGCTAGAATGTACGATAGTTTCATCTAAACACGAGTGATAACGGGTGGGAGAACTGCGAACATGGGTGAACGATACTATTCGGTATAATAGAATAGGGATAACTTCTCATTTCTCACTCAGAGATAGTCCGATAAACATTAAGTGCTACAATAATACGTGACCACAGGACGGACATTCTGTTTAAGGTAAACTACATTACACGTTTTCGATGTTTTCAGTGTAGGTAGTGTGAATACCTAAAATTAATAAATTAATAAAATTGACTATTTATCTCAATTACCAATAGAAGTCTCTATTCAATTACTGAAGTCAAGTCTTTGCTCAAGTTATTTAGCTTCAAACTATATTTAATAATTATCATTTGTATATTAATATAAATTATAATTTTTAATAAAAAGCATAACTCGAATCGAATCTTGCCCGCGGCGAATAACTTGTTATAATTGTACTCGTATAGTTCACAGATATTTAAATGACTGTTATTGTAATTTAAAGTTAAACAAGTGAATATTATTCTTCTTAATAATGTTTTCTATAATTGATAAATAATCGTTGACTTTATTTAACGTTTTTCAATATATACAATAGATATCCACAATTCCCTATTCGCAGTTCTAAATGTGTCACCAAATATGAAGTAATGAATATCTGTATCATAAGAAAATTTTTTATTAGTTTAATGCCTTCGAAATTTCAGGTATAAAAGTGAATATCTAATACAATTATTGCATCATATAAAGAAATTTCTTTATTTATTCACTCTAATGTCATGTCTCGATTTTGATTGCAAATTTAATAAATCACAATAGAAATAATTAAGGTAGAGGCTAATCACACAGACATGATGATTGATTACATAAAACCCCCTTCATCGTAACGTTTATTGTGCGAATTTATGATCGCGTTATTTAATCTATGAACAACAAGAAGCAATTCTTGTTAAATGCTAATGGTTGGAGGACAAAGTGTCATTTGTTATATAAAGACTCTAGAGATTCTAAAGCGCACATGTAAGCCGCTTAATTCTTGTTCATCATTTGCGCGCATAGTTAATCAGCTTTATATGTTACAATCCTATTTTATGTTAAACGTCAAAATGTATCTATTGCATATTATTAAGTTAAAAATGTTTAGCAAACATACTTTAAATGTTAATGATATTATTATATGAAAAAGCGCATTAAAATATCATTTTTAATAAAGAAGAATAATTAATTAATTAATTTTAAAAATCATCTTCGAAATCTAACTCATTTTATGCAATTTTTCTGCGAAATCTATATTGCGCAATATATTACATCGGGCCTATTCAACACTTTGCGTGCGAATTAAAGACTTCCATCTCTCCATCGTCTTACTAACTGACGCTAGGATTTAATATTGATCTATTTGTTTTCTCTCTGTTTCACTGAGGCACCGCAGAGATAAGGAAGCGTTTAGCTCGCGAGCAAAATATTAAACAGACCGCTGTTTTATACTATGCAATACTGCGTATATATTTATTTATAACATTCCTTAAGATGGTTCTTTAATAAATCAAGTTACTTTAGAAATGTCCAATTTTTTTATATAATAAAGTTGAAGTGCCAAACTTGCGCAAAATTTTAGGGTTGTCGAAAAAAGAGAAAAAAAGATGTTGAAAATATAACTTTTCACGTAATAACTTTAGTGATAGCTAGATTGGACTCAGAGACTTTTTTTTAACTGCACACAAACGTTATTTCAGACTTTTTTAAAAAACAAAATTAAAATAGTTAAAAAATTGCGATTTTAATGGTCACAAAAAAGTAATAGGTCATCTATAATAGGCTATTCTAGAAAGATATTTAACGTTGAAATGGCAAAATATTACATAATCTCGTTAGTAATATATATTATTCCACACTTTTCTATCCTCATTCATTGTCGCGAGAGGTAGCAATATCGTTTGTTTTATACTATTTCATTAGATATACACTTTAATATTTTATTCAAATTATACAAATATGTGTGATTTTCGATGGACCCTAGATGAGGCATATCAAACTTTTGGCATTTTAAATAACCACCTTAATGTTTATCAGTTTTCGTAATGAAAAGCTCCTCACTTAATATTAAGTAAGATGACAAATGCTATATTCAGCTACGTGTCACATTTATATATAAATGTGACACGAAGAATAAATAAACGAGACGGGTCAACATTGAACTTATTCCGATTTGTCTATTAATAAAGCAGATACTGAGCTAATTGAGATAACAGAGTAATGATAAGATATGATAGCATAAATT